GGGAAGTCACAGAGCTGGAGTGATTTCTCATCATCACAGGGGGCATTTTAACTCCTGTTCAACAGAATGTTGCTTAAAGACTGTTTCTCAGTAGCAGCTAAGGAGTAAATGCGGGGGGAGGGGAGTCTGCTTATTAGGCTGCAGATGGGGCTTTGTGCATTCCACAGTTCCACAGAGATAAAGGCAACCCACAGGATGCACCATGCCATCCATAATTTAACTAAGTGAGAACTGGGATTAATTAAACAAGGACATATGCACAGTCCTTATAGCTGTAAACAGGAGGAGGGCATTGTCAGCCACAGTGCCTAGACTCTGGAATGCCCTACCAAGGAATATATGGCTGGTGCCACTTCTTCTTTCTTTTAGGCACCAGGTGGAAACTTTTCTATTTAAGCAAGGTTTTGGTTAATCTAATTTAGTTTAGTTTAATGCTTTTTATTTGTTATGGATTATTTATTATAATTAAATTTTGGTTAATTTATTGGCTGTGCTTATTAGTGCGTGCATACATTTTATCATGTGATGTTATTTACTATTCAATTGTTTTATCCATTTTATCATATTTTTAATTGTTTTACTGTATTTTATCTATGATTTTATGCCATTTAGCATTAATAAGCCACCAGGAGGACCTGCAAGTAATGGGGCTGCATTGAAATGAAATGATAAATGCTTGAAATGATAAATAAATGCTTGAAAATGTGGTGTACCATGCCTGCAAAAATATCAGAAACCAGAGGGTTGTTAAAGATTTTTAGTAGATGGGGCAGCAGGGTACCCCCTGCATAGCCCCTTGGTGAGTAAAACTAAAGGACAAATAGACCAGCAGTCAATAAAATGCAGGCTATCAAACTTCATATCATTACCAATGTAAAGTCACAGCAAACATGAAGGGCAAAAATAAGGGTTATATGATAGATCTACATATTGCAAGACTCCTGGCGCGATGGGTTTGCTTCACATCATTTCCTGTGATGGACGGAGGGGTGAGGAGTGGGATGTGAGACTTCATGTTGCTGCCTATCCAAATGAAGGGATGTGCTGGCCATTTGACAAGTTTCTCAACTTGGTGGGAAGCCCAGGGGGAGCGGACCACAGTGAGGGTAGTCCATGACTGTTCTGGGTCACAGCTGGTAAAGCAGAACCAAAGCAAGCCAGGCCAGGGCAGGCCAGCCAGGCAGGCTTGAGCTGTCAGGAGCTTGAAAAGTCCATGGTAGGAACAGCTGGCTGAAGTATTGTCCCACAAAGAGGGCTGCTGTCCCAACAAAGCACTGTAGCCAACTGAGGACATAGATAGCCTGGTCTTCTAAAGTTTCACCTTGCTGGTTGCTAACTGCAATTCTCAAAGGACCAGTGTCTCTTCTTTCAGTCCCATGGTTCTGTGTGACTGAGGGATGAGAGAAACTTCTTTGAACCATCCTCAGGCAGATGAGGAAGGGAGACTATGTTCTCAGGTCAAGCGGTAAGAGAAGGCTTCATGTGAGATGACTAACCACCTCCCTGAATCCAAGCCCTGCTTGGGGTGATATGAAGCCTCAGAACCAGAAGAGGTAAAACTACATTGGCATACCTCTCCTCTCCATCAGCAGCACAAAGTGGACCCCAGCCGCACCATTTTAAAGGCATGCAGTGTAGGATTAGCCAGTCACCTTCCGGGGCTGAATAGTATTTTTTGGAGGGGAGGGGTCTGGTTGCATATTGGGTCTAAGAGAACTACCTTTTTTCCTGTTCCATGCTGCTGGCTTCACAGGGAAGTGAAGGCTTACAATTTGCTCTGATCTGTAAGATTCGTGGCCATGTCTGGCAGATTGAGGACTAACTAGGAGAGATTTAATGCTAGACTAAAAAGGTAAAGGTTCCCTCACACATGCTAGTCCTATCCAACTCTGGGGCTGGTGCTCATCTCCATATGTAAGATGAAAAGCCAGCATTGTCTGAAGTTGCTTCTATGGTCATGTGGCTGGCATGGCTAAACACCAGTTCACACAGAACACCGCTACCTTTCCCACTGAACTGGTACCAATTTATCTACTCGCATTTGCACGCTTTTGAATTTCTAGGAAGGCAAGAGCGGGGACAAAGCAGCAGCACCCTGCAGTGTGGATTTGAACTGATGACCTTCCAATCAACAGCTCATTGGCTCAACGGTTTAACCCACTGTGCCTCCCGCATCCCTAATGCTAGGCCACCCTGGTGAAAATTCTGAGGCATCTTAAGGGTGAAGGATTCCTTCTCCACCAGCCTCTCAACATTGATCTTTGTGGTTCATCCTGGAGGGTATCCTTGGGCCCTGAGGACAGCAGCCCATGCAAGTCTGGTGAGTGATAGGTGGGTGATGGATGTTCGCACGGGGCTTCTTGGCAAAACTTAACTCTGGCTGGTAGTGACAAGTAAGGATCTGTTCAGAGACTGGTTGGGCATTTTGAGCCCATTTGAGGGGGTCAGTAGGTGGTGTCTACTCTCAGCTTAAGCTGCTGGTGCTTGAATTAGTTGGGCTGAATTTATGTTCACTGCAGATCCTTATAATTATAAACATGCAGCCCTTCATTCATCCATTTCTGCTTCCTGTCATTCTGATATGTATGGACAAAAATCTGTATTTGGTTCTGAATTTGGAATAACCTGAAAAGATCTTAGTGTTAGGTAAATGGATCGTATTGTTGCATTTGAGGTCCACCTGGTTTAGCCCTGCTATTGCGTAGGCTGTGGGAGCCAATCACAGAACAGTTGTAGTGGCACATTAATGCAATTTTCCTGACTATACTGGTCAGGCAATGAGAATGAGAATCCACAGAAACCTTCCGGTATGATCCCAAGCCTCCTATTCACACCTCATTCATCTGTTTGGTTTGGAAACCTGCCTGCCATTTCCCATCTCCAACTTTAGCAATCTGCTATGTGGAGACATGAAAAAAGAAATACATTTCTGGACAAAATTGTTGGTCTTTGATAAATAGGCTATGCTATGTTTCTTGTTGCTTTTAACAGAATCATGAAACATCATTTAGTGCTGTCAGCCCCTGTCCCTTTCTTCTCACATTATGTGGATAAGTCTTTCTTTAGTACAGCTTGGAAAGAAAGAAAGAAAGAAAGAAAGAAAGAAAGAAAGAAAGAAAGAAAGAAATCCCCTTTCTGAGTCATCCTCCCACATGATGGAGCTATGGCAGGACTATAAAAAAATATACTGAACTAGGCAATGCATACCTCAATTTGCCTCAACACCCCCATGCATAATAAACCATCCTTATTTTCAAAGCTGATCCTCAATTCCAAATGTTGTCCTTGTTTCTCAGAGGTGCTGCTGCCTATTTCATTCCTCCTGCAATAACATTTGCAGGTACAGCTACCTGGGCAGGGGGTAAGACAGCTGCTGGCAATTTCAACCCATCAAGCCCTGCAACTTTTCTTGAAGTATTATACAAGAGAAGTCCTTTCACGTTAGTATCAAAGTCCTTTCACGTAAGTATCAAATCAAAGATAAAACTTTTTTAAAGGCCCACAAAACAACAAAAGTCTGAGATAAGCAAGTTAATTAAAAAGGCATGTGATTAGATTCTTGCAATCTCTTCCCTGAAGAATGCAAGGTGTTAATGTCCAACTGAAAGGTACATTCTAACAATTTATCCTGTGGCTGTTAGACCCAGCGTCTACTTTATAGGGCAAAGAGTCCCTTCCTGTGGTATTGGATGGTACACACTGCTTCGCTGCTCCATTATTCACCTTTTGTAATATATACTACACAAGGACTAGACCTGCGTACAGCAGATTCCTTCCTCCAGCCTGGTGATGCTATTACTACAACAAGGTTTATTGTATAACCTCTCATGTCTAAAATTTGGATTTATTATTAAAACAGGCACACACAACTGTGATCGCAAACATGTTTTATAAACATGACAGGGGAAATATATCAATAGCAAAATATCATGTCCGATTATTTTACTAAAATGGCAAAATATAAGTAGTGGAATTTGGGAATATTGTACCTCTGCTGGGAATCATGATACATATCACTGAAAACAGATTAACCATTGTATTAAAGAAGTGATAGCCTGCCAAATGATGGCCAGCTTCTTTCCAAAGAAAGTTAGGCAATTTGATTAACTAACACCAAGCCAAGCTGGGCCAGTGTAACTGCGACAACAGTTACTAACATTTTTAAAGCATGACAAGAAAAGCTAAAACTGCTTTGGTGCCCCAACAAACCCTAGTTTATGATTCCATTAGCAATCTGCCTCTCTCATAGCCACAAAGAATTAAAAGTTTTATTGCATTTTATTTAAAACATCTTATTGTTTTGTCCAAACCCGAAAAAATGTAATTGAACTTAACAAATTAATGCATTTAAAACATGTCATTTTCAAACATAGGTTAGGATTATGAAGGCATCTTATTTCAGCAAAACATACTTAAGAGAAATATCAGTTTAGCAGTCAGAAAAAAACCATTAGTGGCTAATCAAAAATGGAAGTGTAAGCTTCTAATCAACTCATAACTGCACCAGGGGAAAAGTGTGTCTGTGCTGGGGTGAAAGGGGAAGCAAAACTGAAGTAACAGCTTATTTCTGTCATGATATATCATGGTTTATTATGACATCAAATTGATCCAATGTGGTGTTGTGTGTGTCTTTATACTTAGATGTCTATTAAGGGCACAATTCTATGCCTACTCTGGGGGGTGGGGGGACACAACCCTACAGATCCCTGCATTTCTTAGCCAGTTTGACCCGCTGGGGAATGATTAGAGTTGTAGGCCTTCCTTTCTGTCCAAAGATGAATAAGAATGCACCCTAATAAATTCTCACATTAATTCTGCAAATTTGAGAAAGGCATTTGAAGTCCTGTGCCACCATGTGACTTTTATTTTATTTATTTTATTTTATTTTATTTTATTTTATTTTTATTTATTTAGGGAACTTCTATGCCACCCCGTTCGCCGAAGCCTCGGGGCATTGCCACTGCCAGTATGAGAAGGAGGAGATACTATTCTGATTTCTCAGTTCTACTTGTAAAGATGTTTCACAATTGAGATGTAGGTATGTATAAATAAAATTCACCTCAATTCATTTTTATCTGTATTTAGCCAGTTCTCACCTTCTGGACTGAACACAGCTTTGGACACAAAGTGTGGCTGAAATGCATACATCTCTGAGCTTGAACTGTTATACGGACCAGAGAAAAATACATTCAACCACATGTGTAGATTGCATGGAAATATGCACACGACTATATGTTAATCAATGGGAGTAGAAGGTGTAGATTTTAAATATGCACAAAATTAAAATGTATTTGAAGAAATATGCATAAAATATGCATGTGAAAAAAAAATCTCAATCTGATACACAAAGAATGAGCTTTGAGATGGAGTTAAGTGAAGTTCAGTGAGCTCAAGTGAAATGACTTAGTAATTGCAGCATCTCTGAACTAAAGATTTTAAGAATTAACATTCATTTCTGTATGAAGTGAAGCAAAGCCAATGTAATTTATGCTTAACAAAAACAGAAAAATCATGGAAATTTCACCTATTGGTCGTTATCAACACTTCTAGAAAAAAAAGCAAAACAAAAAAACCGGGGAATGGAACAAGCCTTTGTAGTTCTTGATTGGCTGATAATCTGAGTCTTTCGGGGCAAATATGCTTGCTGTCCTCCTGCTGCCCACATTGCGGGATGCTCTGCCATGTGGTTTCCGTAGCAGAAGCAAGATGAGATACATTGCATCCCCCAGTCCAGTCCCAGTATATAGTGCTGCACTTGCTGTCATTCTGAACCATGTGTAGTTTAGAAATTAACCACAAGTAACCACAAGGCCAACATTCAAGCTATGGGAGGGGTCCTGATATTCCCTGAGCTGGCCTGCAGAAGCCAAATGCTGGGAAGTTCCTGAACCTTTATAATAGGGGAAGCTGCCTCAGCCAGTATGTTCTTAGATGAGTTAAGAAGATGGCATGGGATTCCTGTGACAGGGTACAAAAAAGACAGATCCAAAATCCACTTGATGCATGCCCCCTTTCTGCAGGATTCTGGAACTCACACCTTCACTGAAGTTTTGCAAAGCCTAAATTTTATTTCCAGGTACTCAATTTTTAAATTCTGAGCAATTTATGCATAAACTTGAGGAAGCATACATGAAAATAGGCACACACTTTTGTATAATAATGTATAATAAAGACACGTGTCAGGACAAGTTTCAGGGTGGACTTTGAAAAAGATGCAAAGCTTGAGTTTGGCAGCTTTGCGCAATTTGAACCAATAGGCATGCTTGCCATTTTTTCACATGTCAGTTATCTGTGCTACAAAATGTAATGGTGGCTGTAACAGGTGATGACTTTTGTGGCTATGGTTGTACAGGGATAACATCTGACCCTTTGATTCAGAACTTTTAGTAAAAGCAAATAATAGTTACAGTTGAACATTTTAGAACACCGCTTATTGTTAGGTTTACCACTACTGTTTGATATTATATCAATGCCATGAAATAACATCTTATAATCAAATACAGTAAATATGGTATAGTATAGTTGGTGTAGTAAATATGCATTTACCTGTCCAGCTTTTGCATTTTCACAAACAAAGGTTTCGTAATACTTGGCAAATTCTGGTGCATGATCATTTATATCTAAAATCCGGATAAAGATGGGTGCCTGGGTGCTTTGTTTGGGGTTGCCTGAAAAAAGGAGAAGAAAACCTATAAAGAAGTGCACTATTACTTATATTTCTTATTTCCAGGTATGCCTATGAAAGTTTATGTAGCAAAATTGGTGCCAAACTGCAAAGGAGTCAGTTCTTGGAGGGAGCCTAAGGTGTGTAGAAGTCTCTGTTTCTTTTAACAAAAATGAAGTAGAAAGGGCCTAAAAGCCTAAAGGAGGAGGGGGAGAAGCAGACTGCACATTTATCCACCTCCCTGAAGAACAGGAAAAAGGAGAAGGAGTGTCTAATGAAAGAACAACCCTATTGTCCCTAAACAGTGTCTAGAGGGCCTGATGATTTTTGCAGGAAAGGAACTCTGAACTATGGTCTGCAGACCCATTTGTCAATCCCCCTCTCTTCCCATCACATGCCAGCAACTTTCCTGAGGTGCTACGAAGTCTGGAAAAGGGGTTAAAGGATGTTCCAGGACATGGTGCCAAGATGAAGTGTATCTTGGTGGCACCTGAGCTTCTTTCCCTCTGCCTCACACTAGCTACCTAGCTGCTTCACAAAGCAGGTAGAGTGCAGAGGCAAAGATTGCACTCATGCTTCTCCTACTCTGCAGAGGATGCCTATAATCTTCTACGTCTACAGACATCCTTATTGGATTATTATTTAAGGCTATTACAGCAGCATCTCTTCTGCTCCCGGCCTCTCCCCACTTTCTCTCTGCTTTAAAGTTCTCCCTTTACAGACAGAAAAGATTTGCCTGAAAGTGATGATTGGGTCTGCTGTCATCCATCCCAGTGTATACTTTCTTCCTCCTCAGCTAGGGAGACTTTATTGCACTGGCTAGCTTCCCTGCCAGAGGAGACAGAGCTTGAAGGCTTTCAGCCACACAGACATTCTTATGATTAGCAGCAGTAGTAGTACTAGTAGTACGCTGACCTGCATGCATTTGCCACCGTCTTTCCTCTTGTGGGGAACCCAAGTCAGACTTACATATACTAACAATGAACTCATTCTACAGATGCTGATCCTTAGGCATCCCAAAAGGTGCAACCCCCACACAAAAGGGAGGCGTCATCAGGATTAGGAGAGCTCCAGAGTTTTCAGAATTATGCCAAATTTTAGGAAATGCATCCCTATTGCAGATGGAAATCAGAAACCATCCAATAAGAACTGAATATGATCAGTGGTCATGGAATGCTGACTATGGGAAGGAGAAGGAAGAAAGGGGACAAGAGGAAGTAGAATTGAATATCCTCGAAAAGGGCATGGTGGACTGGCAGCTTATGCATGAGCATTAGTATACTGCAAGATTAATGTACATTGATAATGAAGCAGATCAGTGTTATAGACATATAGATGAGAAATACTCTTATCTGAAACCCTTTCAAGCTATTGCCGGCCAGTGCTGCTAACAAGTGAGCTTGATTGCCCAAAGGACTGACTCCAGATAAGAATTGGGCCTGTAATTCAGTCTTCAAAGTTTATTGACTTGACTTCTGTTTCAGAAATGGAGGATGAGGGCTTGGTTTTCACAGCTGAACTGTCAAAGCCAGAAATAAGCTGGGCAGTCACTGAAAGCCAGATCCTTTCGAGTTCTGTGGGAAATTCTAGTGAGCAAGCTGAGCAGAGTGATGCTGGACTTAACATCATTAGTCCAATTAGATGGCATTGGGTTAATAGGAAGGACTAATTGAGAAACATCAGACATTATAAGTGGGTTGAAGGTAGAGTCAGATTTTTTTAAAAAAATATTTTGTTTGGAAGGGAGGAAATGTGTTTAGCTTGGATTCTATTCAGATCCTTGATGTTGGGAATGAGGGTGGCACTTGTTCCCGGGAGAAAAGCTTGGTACACAGCACCTAACAGCCAGGATTCTAACTTTGTGTCTTTTCTTATTGACCTCTGCAATGATCTTTTGTAACACAGAACCAGGGTAGCTGGGCAGCTTTGCCATAAGAGAAACTTTTAGTTAGAAGCTTTTGCCCTGATTTGCTTGGCAGGAGGCAAGACAGCAGCCATGACAGCAGCTGTTTTTTAGGTGTCGTCTGTCACCTAAAGATGGTGTTGGAAGCTAGCGTAACACAGTAAAATGGCATCTAAGCTAATAAGTTTGAAACTTGTTCAATTTCCTCTTTCCTAGGAACTTTGGATCTATAAGGAGGTCTTAAAGATACTTAATAGAAAATTCTCCAGCTCCTCATCACACTGCAATTTCCAGGGCTCTTGGGGAAAGCCATCACAGTTAAACAGTGCACAGTTAAACTGGAATAAAAACAATAATTTGTGATGTATAAATATAACCTATCGATCTTTATCTACCAATTTCTACATCCCGATATGAGAGAGATTGCATCCTAAAACATTACACTTTTAAATTACAGCCATATGTTTTACAGGGGATTTGCTGTACAATTTGTTTGGATATATTATAGATTCAAATGGATTCTAGATCAAATCCAGCCTAGAAGCAAAAATAACAAAACTGAGACTGTCAAACTTTGGGTACATCATAAGAAGGCAAAAATCCTTGGAGAAGACAATCATCTAGAGAAAGTCAATGCAGAAGAAGAAAAGGAAGACCAAATACAAGATAAATATATTCCATAAAGGAAGCCATAGCCTTGAATTTACAAGAGCTGAGCAGGTCTGTCATGGATAGAACATTTTGAAGGGCTTTCATTTCTAAGGTCCCCAGAGGTAGGAGATGATAGCACACAACAGCAGCAGCCAGTAACAGCAGCAGCAGCAGCAGCAGCAATAACATTATTCACAGCGCTGGCTCTGATGCACCAAGAAAAAATGGGGGTCAAATCTTATAGGCATCTATTCTGAAACAAACCCTGTTGAGTTCAGGCATTTTTCCTAGGTGGGGGTGTACACAACCACAGGTTTCAAGATACTGTATCCTTTCCTTTCATTTGTATGGAGTACTTGCAACTTACTGATTTCAGTTGCTATGACCGTGAGGTTGTGCCATGGGGCTGCTTCTCGGTCAAGTGTCTTTGAGACAAATATGGACCCATTTCCTGAGTGGATGTTGAATATCCTGTCCAAATCAGTGTGTCGATCCAAAGAATATCTGTCAAATGAAAATACATAGTCACAATCTTCTGTTATATTGTGGATTGATTTCTTTTGACAGAGATTTTTAAATAATGTACAACTTACAGAGGCTTATTCAGATTGGCAACATAAGCATCTTAAATTATTCATCCAGTGACTGGAATGATTACCTTCTTTACCCATGACAAAAATAAAAGAGAAATAATATATATGGAAGAAAGAAGGGGGTATATCAAATGGAGGAATGACGTAAATGCATATTTTGATTTTGTTTTCATTGACTAGTTACCTTTAAATCATTTTCCATAGAATGACACAGAGAGAGCATTCATTAAAAATCCCCTCTTATACAAGGTCTATATCTGTGAAGAGGGCACTATTGCAAGATTGCCACTCTTTCTACTTGATTACAAAAACTGCAAGTTGGATAATACGTAAAAAAAAAGTTCAAATAACAGAACTATAGCTACAATTCTCAATCACAAAATCCTTCTTCTGAAGTCACACTGCTTGTACAAGCAGGACACATATGTAAATGGATGGTCTTTCATGGTTTTAGATTATATCGACAAGCTGAGGGAGAGGATTGAAAGCAGGACTTTACCTACACTAATTCATATGATTTCATGTAGGAAGTATACAGGGTG